TTATTATTATTATTATTATTATTATTATTATTATTATTATTATTATTTTAACAAAACTTGGACAACCGAAGAAAATTGAGAACATGTAACAGTGATACCCATTGTCATTGGGGCACGGTACCATGTCTAAGAATTTTATAAAATACATCAAGAAATTGCAGCTTCCTGCAATAACACCAGCAGAACTGCACAAAACTGCACTACTCAGAACAACGTACATCTTAAGAAGGTACTTGGTTGATACCTAAGACTCTGGCAGCAACCAGTATCAACCATTAACACCAGTCAATGGTATTTGTGATACATTTTTGAATGTTGAGTTGACTGAGTTTCATGTTTAATTAGTAAAGTATATAATAATCCATCAATAATCCAATAATCAATCTATCAAGAAATTGCAGCTTCCTTCAATAACACCAGCGGAACTGCAAAAAACTGCACTACTTGGAATATTGTGTATTTTAAGAAGATACCTAGGATGCTGGCAGCAACCCATATCAACCATTAGCACCAGTCAATGGTATTTGTGATGCATTTTTGAATGTATATAGGTGTCTATAAAAGTCAAAAGCAAATGGAATTGGCTACAAAATTCTTCCTACACTATTCATGGCTAAGATTCTCTCCTCTCTTCTCCCCTCCCCTCCCCTCCATGTTGCTTCTTGGTTGTGAAGGTTCACATCCATTTGAAAAACCATGAGGTTTTTTTTTCTTTTTTAAAAAAGCCACTTCTTCAATTTAATTGGACTCGTTGCAGCAGTTGAGCAAACATTTTAGCTGCATAGGGACCATTCCTACCCTAGTTCATAATAGGATATAATAGGATATAAAAGAGAAAACCAAGAATGCATGTTTCAGCTCTGCTTCTTCATTTTCACTATTTTTACATTGATAGAAGGTTGCAAGCGAAACGCAACTATATTCACCTGAAATAGCTATAGTAATTTGTACAATCTATTACCTGTATTTTAATTTTCTTGCACTGTGTAGGTTTAATCCCTAAATTTAACCACTGGAAAGAGTATGCTGACTTTAAGACTGAACTTGTACAATAGACAGCAGATACTGTACTTCATTTAAAACAAAGAAACAAGCAAAACATATCTAACATCTGGTTTATCAATTGTATTTTGCAATCTTGAAATAAAATGAATATTTTTAAAATAACAACAGAGTTCAGAATTGTTCTATGAAGCTTGCCATAAGCTATGGCTTATTTGCACCTTCTATTTATTTCTTATCTGTATCAATTTGCCTATTATCTACCTATTCTCTATCTATTTTCTACAGAAGATATATTCCCTTGCAAATCTTGTGGCATCTGGTATCGAAGTGAAAGAAACCTGCAAGCTCATCTCATGTACTACTGCAGCGGGAGGCAAAGAGAAGGTGCTCAGCTATCAGAGGAGAATGAGGAAAGCATTCAACAGATATCTAGCTTCTGCCCCTTTCCACAGTGCACCAAAAGTTTTTCCAATGCAAGAGCTCTGGAAAATCATCTAAATTCTCACAGTGGTAAGTGAGAGTGGTGCTCTACTGGAATCATGACACAGTTTAGTCTTAAAGAGAAAAAAAAGGTGAACCAGACCAATTAACTTGTTGAATTAAATTTTATGTTGAAGTACAGTGGAACCTCAGGTCGCGACCGTAATCCATTCCAGGATTTTGGTCGTGACCAGAAGCATGACCATCTGTGCATGCGCAGACAAAAAAAAACAACAACCCAAAATTGGTGCTGAAGTGGGACATTGCCATGGCAGGGAAAATCGCCACAGCTGTGTCTGATCGCCACCCAAAGAGGTGTTCGCAACCAGAAACAAAATGTTTCCAAAAATTCTGGTCATCACCCGATTTGGTTGTGAACAGAAGCATTCACAACCCAAGTTTCCACTGTATGTCCTTTAATGCCTATTGAGATGGCAACCTCTAGCTGTCTTGAACTAATCTTCAAATCTTTAACAGAGTTGAGTGGTGTCTGGTTGGATGGGGGTAAAAATGTAAATATGCCAGCCGTGACTTATGCTAAAAGGGGCAAAGCTTCAAGTATACAATTATTCCTACATTATTAACAATCAAGAAAGAACCTCTACCCCAGTCAAGGCTGGTAGGTTAAGCTACCATATATAAAAACAGACAGAAAGCTTCATTTCCCCACACAGTGATCTTGTTACCTAGTCTGGTAAGAAAACATCTGCAAGGAGAAAAGCAACTGGAAGGGACACCACAAACCCAATAGTTACTACCTGGATAGAAAATTTCAGCGCAGTAGACCAGACAGCAAAGTCAGAAAGTATCCCAGAAATAAACCATTGCAAACTATAAGGGCAGGACAAGAAGCAATGGGTGGAAACAAATCAAGGAGAGAAGCAACTTAGAACTAAAGAGCAATTTCCTGACAGTTAGAACAATTAATCAGTGGAACAACTTGCCTCCAGAAGTTGTGAATGCTCCAACACTGGAAGTTTTAAAAAAGATGTGTCTTTTCTTTCATTGTACATACTCACTCTTTCCACATTTGTTGTTATAACAGCAACATTTAATGAAAGGCTATCCTTTATTTAAAATAAATGGAAAATGTTATGGATAAAATAGCTCATAAGCAGTTTAATAGATGAGATGAATGCCAGCAGCTAAATGGTAGTTCTGGAAGTGGCCTGCTCAAAGAAAAGCAGTTTGCTCATATATAGTTATTGGAGATAATCTTGAATTTGATGATTTTTTTCTGAAAAGTATTGTGGTCACTAAAACTGGGCTATTTGCAATACCTAGAGTAACATATTTATTTATTTATTTTACTGGTCACGGTATATTGAAGTGCGAAATTTTGGTTATTTCTATGCATCCAGTTAGGACAAAGCCTTTCCTGCTTAGCTTTCAGTTGGCAACCTTTCATCCTGCAGTGGATGATGGGTCCATTAGAGCTCTCTAGAATCTGGTGGATTCTAAGTGATTTTCAGATCCTTAGGTAGCTGTTTATTGCCATGACTGGATTTACTCTGCAACCGCGATTACTGTAGGATGCAGATTTGAAAGTGATCATGACTCATTGATATGATCATTTTCAAATGCCATATCTAAGAAAAAAAAGGTTACTTTTGATGTAGCAAGGCTCTGAGGGTGATGAAAGAGCTATTGAGATCTTAGTACATTTATTTAGCAAATTCCTAACAATTTTTATTGTTTTTTATAGAACCATATCCAAATTTTATAAGTAGTCTTCCTTTGCTGTCGTCCTTACTTTGCTTCCCACTTGTTTATTCTTCAAGTATGGTCTTCAACAGGACTCTCCAAACTTGACAACGTTAAGACTTGTGGACTCCCAGCATGGCTGGCTGAGGAATTCTGAGAGTTGAAGTCCACAAGTCTTAACGTTGCCAAGTTTGGAGAGCCCTGGTCTTGAAGATAGAATTACGGGAAAACTATGAAGCTTCTAACCTTGGAACATTTCAATTCTTTTAAGGCACAATGGGTGCCTTGTCAGCTAGAGTGTTGTACTATGCTGTGATCTCTTGATTTATGTTCTTTAAGTACAATGTAATGGAATATTTCACTTCGCTTTATATTATGTCATATTATTATTTACTTCTTATTCCTTTTGTAGGAGTAAAAATGGAAGAGTTTCTTCCCTCTGGCTCTAGCCTGAAATGTACTGTTTGTAACTATACTGCAGATTCGGTGATTAACTTCCATCAACACCTATTCTCCCATCTCACTCAAGCTGCCTTCCGATGCACACATTGCCATTTTGGCTTCCAGACTCAGAGGGAATTGCTACAGCACCAAGATCTCCACATTTCTGGCAACAAACTGCAGAGAGAAAGCGATGCTGAGCACTCTCCGAATGCCAGTGAAGAGACTTTGCAGGCCCCTGATAGTTCCCAAAGCCAAAAAGCAGTGCAGACAAAGGATGTGAGTTCTGACACTGAGCTTGATAAATGTGAGAAGAAGACTCCTCTTTTCCTTCCAAATCAGAGGCCAGAAACACAGACCACTCCACATAAGCAGAGCTTCTCATACACCAAAATAAAATCTGAGCCATCTAGCCCAAGGCTTGCCTCCTCTCCAGTCCAACCTAATCTCGGTCCTTCATTCCCCATGGGTCCTTTTCTTTCTCAGTTTGCTTTCCCCCAGGATATCACGGTGGTCCCACAGGCTTCTGAGATCTTAGCCAAGATGTCTGAGTTGGTTCATCGAAGGCTGAGGCATGGAAGTAATAGTTATCCCCCGGTCATTTACAGTCCACTGATGCCAAAAGGAGCTACCTGTTTTGAGTGTAACATCACATTCAACAATCTAGATAACTATTTAGTTCACAAGAAGCACTACTGCAACAGTCGATGGCAACAAATGGCAAAGTCTCCAGATTTTGGCAGCATGTCAGAAAAAATGCCGGAGGCTGTGAGTCCCGGCAATGGGCAAAACACAATCAACATTTTGAGTGCAACGGCTCACACTTCAGATCCCGAGAATCAGCTTCTTCAGGCATCTTGTATCAATGCTTCTACTGTCCTCGATATCATTGGGCCAAACAGTAAGGGTCACGAGAAAGACTTTTCATCACAAGTGAAGAAGCTGTCAAATACTGCCAACAGTGATGATAAAATGAATGGGAAGCCTTCAGACAGCAAGAACTCAACTTCTACATCTTTAATAGAAGGAGAAAGTGATCCCAACAAAACTACATGTGAAGCCTGCAATATTACTTTCAGTAGGCATGAAACATACATGGTCCACAAGCAGTATTACTGTGCCACTCGCCATGATCCCCCACTTAAAAGATCAGCTTCAAATAAAGTGCCCGCCATGCAGAGAACAATGCGTACACGCAAACGAAGGAAGATGTATGAGATGTGCCTACCAGAGCAAGAGCAAAGGCCACAACTGGTCCAGCAACGCTTCCTTGAAGTCACTAATCTTGTCAACCCTTGCACATCTTCTCAAGAAGCAACAGATAGCCTTGGAGAGTGCTACCATCCACGCTGTGATATCTTTCCAGGAATAGTTTCCAAACACTTAGAAACATCACTGTCCATTCATAAATGCACCTCAACCTCAAAATGTGACACCCAACATTCCACAATTTCCTGCTTGGAAATGGACGTCCCTATTGATCTCAGCAAAAAATGTTTGCCCCAGTCTGACAGGACATCCACTTCCCCCAAAAGGCTGCTGGACTATCATGAATGCACCGTATGCAAGATCAGTTTTAACAAGGTAGAAAATTACTTGGCGCATAAGCAGAATTTTTGTCCCGTCACTGTGCACCAACAGAATGAAATGGGACATCTTGATAGCAAAGTGTTTCAAAATCCAGAAAATGAACGGAACAGTCCTGAGGTCAGTTATGACCGAACCATCATCAAATGTGAGAAAAATGGAAACTCAAAACAGGCTTCTCCCAATGGAAACTTGTTTTCTACGCACTTAGCAACCCTTCAAGGACTTAAGGTCTTTAATGAAGCCACGCAACTTATAGCTACAAAAGAGGAAAACAAACATTTTCTTCCTCAATGCCTTTACCCAGGAGCAATAAAGAAAGCTAAAGGAGCAGACCAGCTTTCTCCATACTATGGAATAAAGCCAACTGATTATATTTCTAGTTCTTTTGCTGTTCACCACAATGATGTAGATCAAAGTACGGTTGCAGAAGGTGATACGGTGAAGGGCCAGACACCATCCAATGGGTGCCCTGTACAGAAAAAAGAATCTTTGCCCCTCTTGCCAAAAAACAGAGGGATGGTTATCATTAATGGGGGACTAAAACAGGAGGAGAGGCCTGCAGGAAACCCACAGCAAGAGAACATTTCCCAGACTCCCCAACAACATGAAGATGGACACAAATCACCATCTTGGGCCTCAGATAATAATTTAGCTGCCAATGAAAATGTCTCGCCAACCATTCCAGCAGCAGAAGAACAATTATCTAGTATAGCAAAAGGAGTAAACGGTTCTACTCAGGCCCCTACCAGTGGAAAATACTGCCGGCTGTGCGATATCCAGTTCAACAACCTATCAAACTTTATAACTCATAAGAAGTTTTATTGCTCATCCCATGCAGCAGAACATGTCAAATGAAAATGGCTGGCCCCCTGTTTGGTATCTGTGTTTAGTATACAGTATTGTTCCATGCAAGTCTGAAAGAGAGCTGTTTGTATGACTTCTGGACAATCAGGAGTTAGTTCATTACTGCTGAGTTGAAGACTTAAAAGATGTACTTTCATTACAGTTCATTAGTAAAGTGTATTCTTGGTGCCATTTTCAAAACTATTTATTTATTTTACCAGCAGTGTTCATAGCTGTAGTTATTTTTAATTTAAAGGAAAAAAAACTTTATATTAAAGTCATTTGTAATGTTATTGTATAATTGTGTAGCACATATGGTTTGCACTGTATAGTAGATTTTAAAGAAAATAGTCACAAACTCTACAAAAAAGGCATTTTAGAAATTTAGCTTCAAAAGCACCTGTGTATCCTATTTTTCCTTATATGCTATTGCAGATATGTGTAGATGCTAAAATATAATTTGCAAAAGGTTTCAATTATGCTGTAAAGTTCGCCTTAAAATTTCAATTTTTTAAAGAATTTGGCTCAGTTTGCACTTTATATTTTAGCAGATACAGTACCTTAGTCACTAGGCTTTGCATTTGTATGTAGCAGTATGCTTGTCTACTTTCTTACCCGAAATGTCTGTTAAAATGAAGATGGCATTTTTTTTCCTTGTATAGTCCTTGTATTTTCTTTCACTAATGCATCTCTGTCTCAATTTTTAAACATTTGCTGTTAAATGCAATACTTTATAAAGAATGAACAAAATTACTGGAAGCAGTATTGTAAGTAATGAGGTCATATCTATCCATTTTATCTTTTGAAAGGCACAGTCAAAAGGAATTTCTTAGCTCAATGCTGCAAGTATGAATCTAATTCATTTATAAGATATATTTAAATATAACGGTAGCAATACTGCAAACTGGTGATCACAGAGATAATGTTCTACTTCTGATAGAAATAATTTCTCAACAAATGTTGTTACTATGCATGTATATGGATGGAATAAAATTCCAGATCATCAGACTGGTCAGGCAGTAATTTATTCATTAAAAAAAAACCTTATCAAGCTCAATAAAGTAAGTGGCTGGTTGTGGGCTAATCTAATATTGTATGCTCTTCAGTTAATATAACTGTCCTAAAAATGCCATGCAAGAATGGGAACCCACAGTCTGGAGCTGTTGGAGCAAGGAGGAACTGAGATGAGTCATGGCCCATCACTTGTTCCTCCCATTCCTCAGTGGAGAATTGCTATATTTTATTGATTTTACTTCCAGTGACAGCCCTGCTTCTAGATGACCACTATACACTTTTGCATTGACCTTCCTAGCATATCACTGTAAACCCGTACAATAGGTATGTTTTATTGACTTGCTAAAATAAAATCCATACAAAGCTAAGCACAATTTAGGACCACTAATCAAGCCCAAGTACACAATATGACATCCAGATCTCAGTTTAAACTCACTCGAGGGATGATAGAGAAAGATAGGATAATCTGGTTGAGATTCGTCCCATCATGACTGGTCCTTAATGTGCTTATGGATGGAGAGTAAAAGAAGGGTCAGCCATTCTTTTGAAGTCCTGAACCAAAGTCCTACTTTTGAGAGGGGCACCTTCTTGTACTGAACGCTACCATACCATTTGGTGGATGCCCTCTTTGGTGCCTGCTCTCTGTAATGTATCTATTTACTTTAGATTGCATCCTCGATTATAAAGAATTAAGAAATTGGTATATTGCCATTTAAATCACCCAATGAAGCATCACCTTTATTTTCAAGAATGTCTCTTGGATCTTCATTCTTAGTTGAATGCTTTGTTTGAAAATATGGCACTTGCCTTGGAAAAAGAGACAAGTTATCGAGCATCTTTCTTAGATTATGTAGCAAAATGTTTCATAGACTAGATGGAGCCCAAAGTAAGTCTCTAAAAAACTCACTTAAGTCCTTAAAACTTATTGTAAATAAGGAAGCATATAACGTCCCTGAAAAAAGTGTTATTATTTCTATCAAGGTGAGACTTCATGTCTTTGACAGAGTTGAAGGAAGGTTATTTTGTTCTAGAGAATAGCAGTTTGCATTCTGGTCAATGTTCAATGCTTCCCCCACCAGCTATAAGCATGTCCCTCTGCTGGCACACATCAAGAAGTTCACAACAAGCAATCCTTCAATTCAGTTGTGATTGTCATAAACTATCAAGTGTACATCATATGAGAGAGAGTTTTCCTTCCCACAGAGAAAAAACACCCTGATATCAGATCTGTCCATAACCAAAACCAAAAGAGTTGAAAATTGGACCTGCCCACTGAATCACTTGAGCAATTAAAAAAATAAAGATACAAAAACTGAGTTCCAACATCAATAAAAACTTTGTTAAACAATTGATGAAATGGTGTCTTAGCTTTCCTTCAATAATTGTCACTAATCAGAAATTCTTGGGTTCTTATTTACAGTACCTGTTTAATTGGTTCCATTCCAGCGTGCTATGAAGAAGATTAATACAATAGCTAATTTCAATGTCATTATTGTTTTGAAGTTTACAGTATATGAAATGCAGGAAAGTCATATCAATAAGAACATAGTTCAAGAACAGAAACTAAACTTTGGAATTCTATATTATCCCTACTCAGTTCTCAGGTGCTCATTGCTACTGATTACAACTCTATTGTTGTAGCAATTATGGATCAGTTGTTTGAATGATCACTCCTTGAGTCCAAATATTGGGAGGAGTAGAAAAGGAAATAATTTATCAGGACCAGAAGAGTTCAATCCACATTAAAACCCCAAACCTAATATATGGAAACACCCTGGATTCAAACACATGTAAAGGAACTATGAGATTTGCTGGAAGCAATCAGAAAGTATTAAAATATCAGATGGCTTGGTAAGAGTAATTTCTGGAACTCTTCACAAACATGGCTGTGACTCAAGAGAATTCTAAAAGTTTGTTCCGACTGAGTGAATTAGCCTCACACTATATCAGGATTTTGAGAACAGTGAAATTAGATCCTCTTTTGGAACAGAACAAATTTTAAAAACATTCATGTTGAGAGATTTTGCACTGTTATATGCAACCTGCCTTTTCTTTTAAACACTCAGTTTTCAAGGTTCCTGATATTATATACATGGTGCAGCTATATTTTTTATAGAAGAAATAAATATAAATCTTGTCAAGGGTTACATTTAAAGTTTCCTTGATAGAATTAAGGAGTGCAGAGATATGTGAGAAAGTGAAAACCAAACAGCTTAGACCGAGTCTGGGCAGCATACAGCAGTTAAAAACAATTCAGAAACAGAGTACAATATAAAAATCATAGAATACAACCTGCAGCCCAATTATTGAAAGTCTCCATCCCAGGCACATTTGTACACATTATTTCTCTAAGCTAAAAAATCTCAAATCCTCTAGCTGCAAACAAAGTATAAGTGTTCTATGGATGGAGTGTACAGCCGTGTAAACATGGAGAAGAAACTTGTCATCAAATCTGAAGTAATATTTGGCTTACGAAGACCAAAAGTAAAGCAGGCACCTTCTTTAAAGACTAGGAATCTGGTAATTAGAAACAGGTAAAATAGGAAAACTTTCAGAAGAAAGCTGTCAGAAATCCACTGTTGGATATGTTTGTGGAGCTTAGTTCACCCCAAAGTTAACATATTTTCAAAGTTGAGATTCCACCAGGGTTCTAAAAGTTAATTTAACTTTCAGAAACTCCCCATTGCCCCTACTTCCCAGACGGGAAGAGAATCCGCATAATCCTGAAGACAACAGGGTAAAGAAATATGCAAGATTTAATAAGCAGTTATGCAGAGGGAAGGATTAGGCTTAGTGAAAGAAGAGCAGTCAAGAATGCAGCAATTCGGAGAGGAAACGTGAAAGAAGCTTCAATCAAAGATGGCAATCGGCTGTAGCTTTAAGCAAACTGAGGCAGGTCCTCAGCAGCTATTCTGGCAGGCTCGCAATCCCTAGACAAGACAGCACAAAATAAATATGTACAGTAGGCACATAATACATACATAGCCTGTTCCTGTCCATAGCACAAACATTTTTTCAAGATATTACTGTCTCAAATATATTGACTCCATGGGTTGAAGAGCTAAAAATAAAACATCTTCCTTTTTGTGAGAAAATCATTTACCTTCTTCAACTACTATCTTAAGTTCTAGCTATCTCTGATGCTACAGAGAACAGCACAATAGTTTTGGGAGAAAATAATGGTTTGTTTTGCCCCTTGGCACCTACATGTTTGCATTGGCTTAAAATTTATTATGAAATATCCCTCAAATACATAGCTTTTGTTTTGTTTTGACTAGTAATATTCTTTTTTCTCATGGCTTTCCAAGGATGAGCCTCAATGGCACAGTGGTTAGAATGCAATACTGCAAACTACTTCTGACAACCAGCTGCCTGCAATTTGGCAGATCAAATCTCACCAGGCTGAAGGTTGACTCAGCCTTCTATCCTTCTGAGGTAGGTAAAATGAGGACCCACATTGTTGGGGGCAATGTGCTGACTCTGTAAACCACTTAGAGAGAGCAGTAAAGCACTATAAAGTGGTATATAAGTCTAAGTGTTATTGCTATGATCCAATTAGATCTTTAACAATTGTCCAGGGATAAATACAAACATTTGTAAGTGGGTAGATTTTATCTAATTTTTCTTTGCAGCTATTGACTTGTCTTTTTTTCAAGTGGTGCATGGAAATGTTTAATAGCAAGATGAAATTCCCAAATTATGGATGCGGAGCTTTTAAAGGAGAAGAATAAAGAGAAACAGGAGCCTTTGTATACTATATCCTATAAAAATGGTTGTTAGTTATTATATTCAGGCCTCATGTTTTAAAATATTTGGTTTGTTCCCCTTTGAGGTAAAGAGGAAGCTGTATATCAGAAACATTTTTTAACATGCAGTAATTTGGGGTACCATCAGTTACTTGTAGACATATTGCAAAAGCATTGGTCCTAGAACTGTCAACATTTCTATACACTTCGACCATTATCTCCTGTATTCTATAAGTAATTCCTTTATCCATTCTAGAAACT